TTTATTAATTAGTTAATATTTATTAATTAATATTAAGAAGTTCCTTTTCAGGTGACCTAGAGATTTGACCAAGGAAGCAAGCATATTCTAGTAAAGGAAAAAGGGAAGGTCTGTTCTCTTTAGAGCTAGAGCAAATAGCATTGTGCAGTATGCACAATACTGTTTTGGTATTTGATTGCTTTAATTTCCATATCAGCAGTATTTACAGAGCACTTACAGTAGTAGGGAAGACAGTTCAAGGGAGTAGTCAACCCTGAAGTCACAACCCTGTGGACAGGGACTAGTGTCAGTGCATTCAGTACTTAAGTGAGCATCTCTTCTCTGAGAGAAGCTATAGCATTTTTCAGCAGATACTACAGCACGAGGAGAGTTTCTACTCCAAACGTTTTCAGTGGTGGAGTACTAAGTCACCTAAAAACAATCGAAAGATTGCTTCAAGACTGATATTGTCAGAATCGCCTACTTCTGTGAATCTTCCAACTGTAGCAGATTTGATGATTTGTAGGCTTTGCTTCCCATAGTAAAGCAGCTGTTTTGTATGCTAGTTCAGTGTTGATTTCACACACCTAACTTTCTTCAGTTTCCTTTTAATTGCCAAGCACTAAGTTTCTGTTAGTGCTTCTTAGGCTATTATACCTCAGTTTTCTTGATGAGTCTCCGTAAGTCTAATGGATAGTAGGATAGGATAAGGATAATAGTTCCACAATATTGATGTAGTATATGCAGTCCTCTTTATGCTGAATTATACTGCAAATTCTGAGCTATGAACTTCAGATGATATAATTGGAAAAAATGTATTTTCTTTCTAACTTTCTAATTTTTTACAGACATAAAAATTCTGATGAATCAAATAGGCATGTAGCAGAAATCTTGCTATAGGACTGATAATAAGAATTTGTTTAGTTATTGTATGAAAACGTACAGTTTGCTTATACTTGTCTGCTCTTTGCTTATAACTTGTATTGTTAAGACAAAGAGAAATGAAGCTCCTGTTTCTGTTCCTGTTTTCTAGGGATTCCTAATAAATTCCAAACCAGAGAATGCATGTGAGCCTATAGCCCCACCTCCGCTGAAAGACAACTCGTCCAGTGCTTTTATTGTGTTGATTCGAAGGCTTGAGTGCAACTTTGATATCAAGGTAAGATATTTCTTTTTATCCCCCCCGCCCCGTTTCAAGGTCTTAAAGAATTTACTGGTGCTCCAGAAAAGTACATATAGCTACCAGCAGGATAGATACTGATGTGAAGGGAAGGGAGAATTTTATTGTCTGCAGACAGATAAAGCAGTATTGTAATATGATTTAGTTTAAGATTACCTGTTTGTGAGCCAGCTTATGTGGCAAATAAGGATGACCAATGCTGCAGTTTTATAATAAAAAGCATTCAGTAGCAATACAAGCCACTGCCAGGCATCACAGGGGAGATTAGGGAACATCAGCTACTTGACTGACAGGATGGAGATTTTAACAAAAACTGGAGTTTATTTTTAAAGTCCCATCCCTCTGTCTGTTTTACATTGAAAACTACAAATATGGGTGCATAGCTGCTTTTCTTGATTTTATTGTGTATGAATCTTTACTAGGCCAGAAGCCGTCTCCTCTTCCCTTCCTCTCAGCATCTACTGATATCTTGCAGGAAAAATTACGTAGCAGTAGGAGAAGGGTAAAGGCTGGAAGCAAGTGGAAGCCTTCTGGAGTGGCTCCTCACTTGTTACAACTGATTTTTACTGCTGTTTGTGCTCGTGACCAGTATGGGAAGGGACTCATCAAGAGAGGGTGATGCTGTGCTTTCAACTCCTGCATAATTGCATAACTTCTTTCTCAAGCCTGCATTTAGGGTCTGGTCATGAGTGATTCTGAAATATGTTGTTGACATCATATAGGAAGCATGATGTATTTTCTGCCTACATAAAAGGTTGGTTCGGTAAAATACCATGTAAAATTGTGCTACATATGGAGAAACATCATAAGAATAGTCTGGGGTTGTATGCAGTTTACATAAATCATACCTTGCTATGTTAAAACTGCCTCTTTGGGCACAAAAGCCAGCAAATACGTTATTATACATGACATTGTTTTATGTATGCACGATGGATGTTCGTTAGGAATATGCGGAGAGAATCTGAATTGATGGCACTCTGAGGCATGTTACTGTTGAGTAAGGAGTTGATTGTAATTTTCTTGTGGTGGAAAGTTACTGTGCAATTAGAAATAGCTTCCTGGAACTGTACTGTCTTGCTTAGATCTATCTTAAAAATGGATTAATGCTTCAGTTTTGGTGCACAATTAATGCTTTTGTCTTTGGGGCCTTGGGTAGCAAGGGTGAAGTTGCAACTTCACAATACACTTGAACAGGCAAGTGCTACTGCTTTTTGCAGCTAGATGGTGTCGGTAAGCCTGTGCTTGTTCATGGTAGCTTGGGCAGGAGGTGCCTGGCTGTGGTTGTGTTAATGTCACCCTTTACTCGAGTAACTCTGTGTCACCTGAATATTTTGAAGGTGTATTTATGTGTGGTTTTACACGAATACCATCATTTTATAATCCAACAATTAAACAAAGGCCCTGTTTTATAATTGTCAAAAGTGCGCAGGGAATTAAAACATTTCCTTAAGTACTATAAATTATTTACTACCTGTCCTGAAGGACATATTTTTGTGTGTAAATACACACCTGTGCAGCACACGATGTTAAAGAAGTCAAACAAACAAAATTAATGCTACGTAGAAACTGTCGCTAATTTCCATAGCACATTTATGTGGATATGAAGATTGAGAACCTGTGATAACCAGGAAGCTTTAAAGCTCACATCGCTCAATGAACTTCTGTATTCCTTTCTTCAGTTTCAACACTTGGTGACTTGTGATGTGTGGTGTCAGTGATGATTCCATTACTGCCATTCTGTGTCACAAGCTCAGATAGGTAGATGTTCAATGCTTTTAATCCTTTCCTTGGCTTTACTTTTGACTGTTTTATTTAAAATTCTCATGCCTTTTTTTCTTTTGCCTATTTTTGCTGTTGTGCAGCATGTAGGAAGGCTTCATGTTTCAAGCTTGACCTAGAGAACCTTTTTTTTTTTAAAAAAAAAAAAAAAATCAGTGGAAGTTTTCCAGCTTTACAACTCATGTTCCTCATTATTGTTTGTCTCTTGAGAAGTGAAATTGGGGGTGGGAATGTGTATGTATGTACATATATTCATACACATATATGTTTTCCCCTCTCTTAGCTTTGGGGGTAGAGGTCTTGAAAAAGAGCACCAAAATTTTCCCCTAGATTTTTCAGATCTGGTGATGATAGTCTGCTGTAAAAGAGAGATGGTGGTGATTTCTTGGTGAATTAGTGAAGGACAGAGTTCCATAAGATTTGTTTGTGTGTATGGTTTTTTGTAAGGGTGGTGCTGCAGTTGGTATTTGTTGACTGGTTAATAAAGCTGTTGTGATGCCATAATATCAGAATCCTGTAAAAGCTGTCTGTCTGCAGTCAATATTGAATGATTTTTCTGGAAAAATAACATAATTACGTGAGTGTGAGAATAATTACATGATTTCATTTTGAAAGGTGACGTTGTATAAGTACAAATGATGTTGTGGTAATATTGATAACTACTTGAAAGTGTACCTTGTCTTAGAGAGGACAGGTTACTGTATTTTGAAGCAGCAGTCTTTCTGTTAAGTACTTTGTATGCCTTACAGGTCTTAAATGCCCAGAGAGCTGGATACAAGGCAGCTATAGTTCACAATGTTGATTCTGATGACCTCATAAGCATGGGATCCAACGACAGTAAGTACAGGTATCACTTCTTCTCTCCTGTTTGAAAATCATGTCACCCACTAGAGTGTACAGTATTAAAATCAGTATAAAGTATTACGATGAACTCTCACATTAAAAAAACAAACCCAGAAAAAATGTACTGCAACCAGAAGTCCTCCTGCTTTTAACATTTTAAAATGGGAGATGTTCATATAAGAACATATATGCATAGTGGTGTATTATTTGTGGCATTAAGTTTGTACGTTCTCTGTTTCTTTTGTTTTCCCTTTAAATTTTAGTTCAACTGCTTGAACTAAATGATTAAATTTATGAGATAGATTTATATGACTGTGGAAAATAGCCGCTGTGTTGTTAATTAAGTAGAAATCTAGGAGAAGTAAAAAACCTACCCTTTTTGGAAGGAAATCAAACTTTATACAATTTTTTAGCATTTGTTAGTGGTTCCATGTTGTTGTTGCACTATTGTGTACATTTTTTCTGTTCCTTTGGGCAAATTGATTCTTATTTCATATGAATACATATTACATGTACGTATTTTCAGTTTTTCAGTAGGAAAAAGAATGTTTAGAGACCAGTCCACCATTTTCTGATTGGCTTTGATGCTGGCTGTTTAACCTTTCACGGAGTGAATATGTTCAGAACATCTTGTAATCTAGTAAAAATGTTGGTTCTGTTTCATGGTATGTGTTTTTTGGTCTGTCGTGCTGTTACAACTTTTTTTGTGGCATTTCTTTATTTTGTCCACTTTTTAAGCTTGCTCAATACGAAACAAGAACATAAATGAGAACAAAAAGAGTTTTTCCAAGTGGAAACACCATTGAGTAAACTAGGAAATTAACTTCCAGCAAACTAAATGCAGCTAAGTAGCCTGGAAAGCTACGTGAAAGTGGTTTTAATGAATTCCCAATCCATGTGAAACTTATTTTCAGGTTTCACTGATAAATCAAAATGTAGAACAAGTTCACAACAACTGCAGATTTGGGTAGTGCGAGGTGACCTTGAGCCATGTATGCTCTTGCCTTGGGGAACCTGAATGCTTTGGTATTGACTAAACTCAGGACACTTGACCCTTAAATGTGAGGCATAAGTCAGAGGTGCACATAAATATAAAGTGAAGCTGAGGAGATTTTCTAGAATACGGGATTTATGTTTCAATAATTTTTTTACTTGTGCTACATCTTTTGAGCTTATTATTACCTTCATTAGTAAGCAGAGAAAGGGGAGACAGTTTCATCCAGTTTGAGACTGAAATAAAGATGTGGGATCTGTTCATTCTCTTCATTCTTCTTTTTGACCTTTCCTAGCCACAGCTGTTTCCAGTGTGTGTGTTTATGTTTAGGATGAGAAGGAGGGAAGACAGATTAATTAAAAATTACAGTACCAGATCATAAAATCATGTAAGTTGCCAGAAATTCTGGAAATCAATGAAGCTGTGTGACTTTATGAAGTCTCTGAATAAAATTGATGTTCTGGTTAAACTTACTCTGATGATGCCTCTCTTTTTTGTCAAAATATTTTCTGTTTATACTGTTTAAATTTTCCATTAAGAATTTTGATTTCTATACCTGCAATAAAGACCCTAGATATTTGGTAGGAAAGATAATACCACTTCTTATATGATGTAAAGATGTAGCATGCATGTGCATCAGTCTATATGTCATTATGTTAAAATATGTCTTCATGTCGTGATAGTGTCATAAAGTTCAAGTCTTATGTCTTAAGAGTGCCCATAGAGTGTTCGTGTAATAATAGTTTTATTTTCCTCGTTTTTTTATACAGTTGAGGTTTTAAAGAAGATTGACATTCCTTCTGTCTTTATTGGCGAGACATCAGCTAATTCTCTTAAAGAAGAATTTACTTACGAAAAGGGGTAAGTTGCCTCACATGCAGCTGTGTTATTCTTTATTAAGTCATTGCCTTTTTTTTTAATATTTGTGGATTTAAAATAGGATGTTGTGATGATAG